GAAAGAAATAGTGTAAGAGGAAAGAAAAAAGGGGACAGGACAAAGCCTCAAACTCAGTTGAGTTGAGTTTGAGACGTTATTCCTGAGCTGAGTTTGCAGCCAAGTTGAGTTTGAGACGTTGTCCTGTCCCCTTTTTTCTGTCTTCTTACACTTTTTTTTCAAATGTCAGTCCCAGTCTCGAGATTTTGCACCATGTACAAACTAAACTTACTATATGCCAGCGTCACTCGGGCGGCGTTCGATCGGATTACTACCAGCGTGAAAAGGGGTAGGGGGGCAGTCTGCCAGATCACTTCAAGGTTTTTCTGAACCTCAACCACCTGCCTGTCCCTAGCCGTTTCGAACTGGATGAGTATTGTTAAACAGTGCGTTCGTAGGACCACTAGTCACAATTACTGATCTATTGTTACACGTCACTGCACTGGCAAATATTCCAGCACATCCGGGGCACTCGTCGTCTCATTTAATTGCCTCACCAACTTCGTCAGTCTAAATATTACACCCAAACTTTTCCAAACCTGATTTCGTGAAAACCAGTGAGGCGTGAAAACGTTATTTGAAACTGAAACTGTGGCGATCATGAAAACCGGACTTCGAACTTTCCGCACTTGGACTTCAAAGAAATCAAACCCTTCAAAGTTGTTTGTTTTTTTTTGTTTTTGTTTTTTCTTTTTTTTAATTTAGCATTAAAACATAATCGAAACCTTCAAGCTTTATGTAGAAAGAAATTCGAAATCTTCGAATTTATCGAACTTTATGTCTTTAAAATTCAATTTTCGAATTTTTCTAATTTTAGATTTAAAGAAATTCGAAACATTCGAATCTCTCAAATTTGAAATTAGGGAAGTTTGAAATCTTTGAATTTATCGAACCTCAAGTAAACAAATATTCAAAATTATCGAACCCGAACTTTTAGAAACCGTGAAAGCTTTGAACTTTTTTAATTCGAAACCCCACGATTTTGGAAAGTTGCTAATTTTTCGAATTCGAACCTCCATACGGTCGAAAATATCTAAACTTTTCGAAATCAAACATCAGTTCGGTTCAAAAATATTGAAACCTTTCGAATTCGAACCTAGGGTGGTTCGCGGCATCCCTAAATATAACCAAACGTCGGAAGGGACCAGCGGTCAGGCAGCCTGCCGACATCCTAAACGAAAGCGCGTTCATCGCACTAATAGGGCTGGAAGTACTGAAGAGGCAGATAACCTGAAAGACAGTGACCGTGATCGAGGAGGATGTTCGTCGTATGTAAACTTTGATCTGGCTTCCCTCAAGGTTGACGCTCCGGAAGCTCCGAAAGTCATCCCGTCAGCCGAACGGTCTCGGCAGCAAGTCTTCAGCGACTTGTTCGAGCTGTTGGCGCCCGCGGTTCTTCCGACCATATCATGGGAATATCACCAGCAGGCCATGAACGGTGTCCGAAACATTGCTTTTACGGAGATGCAGGGGAGCACAAGCCCAAAGTTGCGTAGAATGACCACAAGCGCCATCAGTGGTGCAGAAAAAAATCCCTTGGTCACAACAAAGCTTGTTGACATTGACCATAAAATGCAGGTCTCTGTGGTTGTGATGGGAAGGCACATATCCATAGATGAGCTTCAAATGAAGGATGACAATGCTACAATCGAAGGTGTCAAGTCGTTTCTGCAAAGCTTGCATGAGATGCCTATTTGTGGTGGAGGACCAAAGACAAGTGTGTATCCACAGGCACATCGCGAGAGTGCATCTGTCGACGAATGCAATCTGTGGCGACACAAAAAGTGCCCCCTCTTTGTTTGTGGAAACAAGAGCACATGTAAGTGGTGCTCAAGTCTGTCTGACACACTTCGGATTCACCAGAAGGCGACCGACAAGAAAAATGGAACCAGACCGACCAAGCACTTCGTAAAGGCTTCACATCTGTACGAAATAGTGACAGCATGCTTGCTTTCCGTAAGGCTAGGTACGCGCTGAAAAGGTCTAAGAAACATCTGTTGAAATTTGTCAACTTTCTCAGTGAACGGCTGAAGCACGCCCAAGCAAAGATGCAAAACATGTCCACTGAAGCGCTTGGCGAGAAACTGGAGGCACTGAACCTGCCTTCAGCTCAGCTGGAATTAATTAGGAAATGTGTCTCGGCTGCCAGATGCCAAAGCAAATAGAACAGTCGCTACACTGAGCACTGGATTTTGATATGCCTGCTACTACATATTCACAGGTCACTCATTTCTGAGAGACAATGAGATCTTGCAGCTGCCTTTTATGACCACAGTACGAAAGTACCTGTCAATGATTCGGATCAAATGTGGATTCAACTTTCGTTTCTTTGCGGCGTTCAAGAAAAAGACAGCCACGAAATCTAGCTCTGAGCGTCATGGCATCTTGGTGTTTAATGAAATTCAGGTATGAAAAGAGATGGGAGTTCACACTAAGACAATGACATATGCAGGGTTTGCGGACTTTGGTGAAGCGGCAAGCCCTTCAGATGAATTAGCAGATAACATGCTGGTGTTCCCATTTCGTGCATTTGATTCTACTATTCCCAGCCAGTAGCTGCTTTTGCAAGCAAGGGACTGACAAAAGGGCAATTCTCGCACAGTTAGTAATGAAAGCTATTCTGTTGTTTGAGGATGCTGGAGTGTTCGTTGATGCCATTGTGTGTGATGGGGCTGCAACCAACAGAGCCATGCGGAAGCAGTTTTCCATAATGGATCTCTAACATGCACAAGAAACTCATTTGTTCACCCTTTTGACGACTAACGCAGTGTTTATGTTTCCTCTGATGTGCCACATCTAGTCAAATGTGTAAGGAACTGCCTACTGAAAGAGAAGGTGTTGTGGACAAACGTGGGCCATGTAATGTGGGCACAGTATGACAAGCGGTACGTTGAAGACAGCAAACTTCCTAGCTACCTTAGGAGTGTTGAAAAATTGCGCTTTGTCATTTGTACCCATCGAAAACAGAGAAAATGCGAGTTAAATTGGCCACACAAGTGATCAGTAGAAGTGTCGCTAAAAGTCTTCTCAAGCAGAGGAGTGCCAAGCCTAGACAATGTGAAATCTAGCGTGGATTTTACAGTTAGAATAAATGACTTGTTTGATTCACTCAACTAAAGTTATCCAAAAAAGGGCCTGAAGCTAGACAGTAAAGATCTGAGGGTGCTAGCGTCTGCAGTGTTGTTTGTTACCCGGCAGGTGCCTCTCTTCACAATACTAGCCCGATTCTAACACACTATCATGGAGGGCACAACCTCACTGTTATGTTTTGAATATAGGTCATGAATAAAGCCTGCCGCGGGTCTTTGCCAATGCGGCCCAGCTTAGATTGTCTGGTCCCGGTCTCTACATGGTGACTGGAGTGGGTCGCTAGGCTGCCTCCTACGGCAGCGGCCGCAGCAAAGTTTGGCGACCATGGCTACAGGCAAGGCGGCGGGGTCCGGAGCAGGACCCGTAACAGTGGGCATGCCAAGCCTAAGCCCGCTGCCGCAGTTTGACTTCAGTAACCCCCAGAGTATAGAAACAACTGCGGCAGCAATTCAAAGACTACTGCTACGCATCAGGCCTCTACACCGCCAGTGACGAAGTTTGATTGCGGACATAGCTGTATTGCATGGGACCAAAGACACGCGACATCCTGAACTCGCTGCAAGTAGAAGAGGTGGACTTTAGCGAATTCAACCACATCACCCAGAAGTTTGACGACTACTTCATCCATCCTGCCAACGAACTGTATGAAAGTGCACGCTTTCATCGGCACATCCAACAAGCCGGTGAGTCGGCCAACTCCTCTTTCACGGTTCTGAGAAACTTTGTAAAAAAATGCTACTATCCTTCGTGCGAAGTGGAGGAGCGTTTGATATGAGACCGCTTCGTGGTCGGCCTTCGAGACGTCAAGTTGTCAGACAGGTTTGTCGCAATCCAAGACTGACACTCAAAGAGGCCCTGATTCAAGTCTGTCAGGTTGAAGATGCCAAGAGAGAGAGGAAGTTTAATGGTTCTACTGGAGCCTCGGCGGCATCTGCCGAAGCGAAGGCGATAAGCATCGACGCGGCGAGAGTCACGGGGAACCGCCCACCAAAATCAACTGCAACATTTCCGTCGGCAATACGAGCTCCTTGCCGTGCGGGTTTTGCGAACGTACCTTTCATCCATGTTCCAAATACCCTGCAAGCCGGGCACTCTGCAGAAAAAGCCACAAGAGGGGCCAGTTCACAGCAGTATGTCGCTCCGGGACAAAGCTCGAGAAGTATAGCAAGAGGCTCGCGTCAATTGAGTTGGGTGCCGTCAGTTTGGACTGCAGCACTTGGGCAAAGTTTGCCGAGGTGAAAGTTGACGGTATGCCCCTTAGTTTCAAGGTCAACAGCACAGCCGAAGTCAACCCCAGCACATTTTCTGGGATTCCGACGCAGCTCGAGCGTCCGGATGGACAGCTGACCAGTCCAGCAGGCCAGCCTTGTGAACGAAGGTAAAGGAACGAAGGCCTTCGGCCTGCGTTCTTTTACCTTCGTTCACGAATGTGTGAACGGGCCATTACAGTTCAATCCACTTCGGCCAAACATAGTGATTTTGTATTGGTTTCAAGTTCAAATTCAGAGTGAGAGCCTGATTTACACAGATGTGCTTTTTGTTGTTGATTTTTAACGGTTTTCAAATGGTTAAAGTTTGTGCTAGAATGCTTTATTGTTTCAAGGTGGTTCATGCCAAGTAGGAAATTATTGAAATAAGAGTTGCGGCACAGGTTAGCTGGTGAACATTCATACTTAAAAAAAAACCGAGAAGTCTCGAACAATTTGAGACTTTGTTGTGCTCGTCCCTTCCTTTTCCATTGTCTCAGGGTTTTTTCAAGTATGATAGGAAATTACATTGTTTTTCTGTCACGATGCTGTCCCTGTTTTTCGAGAAATCGCGTCCAGCTTTGTCGAGGAGTGCGGTGTCTCAAGGCTCCATCCACCTAACGAGCCAGCAATGATACGAGCATTCCCATGCGAGCTAGCCAAAAGCGACCCTGCATTACTTACGTCATTTGTGTCAACGTTATCAGCCGTGGCCGCAGCACCACTGTCCTTGGTAGCTTCTGGAGGAGTGAAAGAGCAAGCACTCTGTCAATCGAACCGCCTCGTACCATGATCCGAAGCTTTGACTACTCGGTATTTCGATAGCGTCGTTACTAGACGAGTCGAACTAGCGGACATTGTAAAAATGTTAGCGGCACGACAAATATTTACCTAAAGAATTCGAAGCCGCAGCGTCCTCAGGCCTCGCTTCATCCTGGGCCTTTTCCATCTCTGTGTGCTTGTTCGGGGCCGCCGATCGCAAATTCGCACTGGAAATGTCGTTTTGGGACGCAAAGGCTGAGGAGGAAAAAGCTGACGCTTCAGCACCGCAAACAGACGACTTTCATCGATCAGGATCTATTTTAGCTATATAAAAAAAAACGCTTAAAATCGAAGTAAATTAACTCACCAGCACGAAAAGTAACGTGAAACCCTCCGAAACCCTGTAAAATCACGGCAAAATGGCACAACAATAACCAAAGCACCTAAGCTGACCCAGAAAGCCGCCACCACCGAAGACGCCGTTGTACGCAAAGTGGATAGGCCAATACAAAACAATAACTCCTAAAATTAGGCGGTAACTTGCGTCACCTATCGGAAAATAAGACGTACCACCTTAGAGAAAACATGGCCTCCGAGATTCCGCGCGCGCACAAAACCCAGACTCCGGGAAAACATAGATGAAACCATTACCAAACCAGCGATAAGTTGTGTTACAACCTCCTTGTTTGATAGGAATGCTTAAGTGTGTTTCAAAATGACTTTCACCATCATTCTGGCATACTGAAGAGGGAGACTTTTCTACACAAATTTTTCAAGGAAATGAATGTGGGAATGTTTAAGGGAAATAATATCACCTAGTTTGAGAAGAGTATTCTTTGTTTAGCTGAAGTTTTTCTTGGAATTGTTAATGTTGTCATGCAAAATATTTTACCTAAAATCTCAACCTGCGTTAGTTTCGGTTTCGCTAATGTCACTTTCCTGGCGTTGGTTTCCGTGGCCAGCGATTTTATTCATAAAGCGTGTTTCAGATACAGCGATTTTGGCCCTAGAGTGGCGCGATTTCTGTCGTCGCGGCGCTCGTGCCGCTTAACCGCTGGTGCTGGCCAGAGCGCCGCGACGGCAGAAATCGCGCCGCTCTAGGGCCAAAATCGCTGCAATCGCGCCGACGGGGAAAAGAGGTGGAAGGGGGGGGGGGGGGGGAGTTTACATAATCCGCACTCCCCTCCCCCCCCCCCCCCCCCCCAAAAAAAAAAAAATGCTCCTTTTTTTTTGACGTTGGTAGGGTAAAAGAAAAAAAAAATTACATTTCTGCCTGACGGGTTGACCTTTCCGAAATTCAGCCTGCTCACTTCACTCGCTATCATCATCGGAGTGTTGGACATTTCTAATGGCGAATTCGCGTGGTTCTTTCTGCGCGCTCTCGAGCGCTCTTTCCAGAGCGCGCGAGATCGGGTGGTTGAAAGAGAGTGCTGCGGCCTGATCGGGTGGTTCATTCCGAGGACGCCTCTCCCTCTCAGAGCGCTCTTTGGCACTCCGTATGTAGCCGTCGGAGTGGGGAGTGGCGCAGGCGTCACGTGGTACTTGGACGGGGATCACGTGGTTTTGTTGACGATGGCCGGCAGTGGTCTGTGGTTCGGTGGTGGTGTCCGGGGCACGGCATGACGGCGGTTGAAATGTGGTTCTACGAAGTGCTTGTGAATTCGACGGTGCGAGGATTACGACGGACGGGACGACATTCCTTTGCGACCGTAACAGAAAAAGTCTACGTGTGAAGTATTCCCAGTGCTTTCACGAGATCGTTCATCTCACGGCGGTGAATCCGCTAAGCCTAACCGACGAAGAAACAGCTCGCAGGGCTCGCCGCTGTTTTACCGGGTTTTGTGGTCGCTTCAAGACATTTTCAGGTTTGGTAAAAGTGCGTTCAAAGGTTTGTGTTCTAAAATAAAGGGAGAGCCGAATATAACGCACTGTGATTTTGGCCACATGGCGATGCTTGCACGATATTTCGCCGTGACAAAAATGCGGTTTGTTAACCCTTTTATATTAGCCTGTTCTGTCGCACGCATGACCGCTATCGCTGCGCGTTCACGGACGAAACCGCGATGAGTTGACAACTCTTTCCAAGCGTTGGCTTTCGTTCCGTTCTGCGAAAATCAATTCGCATAATGCCGTTTTCTTCTTTTCTTTTTTACATGTTGATGCGTAAATTAATTTACGTCCCAACACATATTTCATCACGTTGCGAGCGTAAAATTTGCTCAGTCGTCCACCGTACGCTGTAAGATCGTGTTGTTTTTAACGCATTACCAATGTCAAGAAATATTGTCACGGGTGGTGACCAAAAGAAAACAGAAAATGAACAAGAAGAAATAAACGTTTAATGTGGCGAACTTGTGCCAAAAATAAAAGGGTACAAAAGAAAACAGCAGAGTGTCGCGGGCGTCGATATCGGCGAAACCGCAGGATCGAGTGCAGAGGCGAGACCGACTCGACAAGGTCGCGAGCGGCGTCTTATCTAGAGTGAGTCACTACCTCGAAGATTCGGCGGAGAAGGTTCGAGCGTAGCGCGCTCGCGGCGAGAATGAACACGCACTTTCTAGAACAACATAAGCAGGGATAAACGACAGAAGTTATGTCCGGAGCAAGAATAAATGAGAAAGTTCTAGAAGTCCGTGACCCTGCGCGCGGCATTATCCCCCCCTTTAAAAGCTGCATCGTCCCGATGCAGCAAAAAAACGAAAAAAAAAAACAAACAACACAAATCCATAACAAAACGGTAGCAAAATCGCGAGCCACAGTTCACAGTTCAGAGTTCTCAGTTCACACGTCGACAAGAGTAGAAAGTTCTATCGTTCGTAATACGGCTTCAGCCGGACGACGTGCACCACCTCGGGTCGCGGCTGACGTCTTGCAGATGGGCGCGTTCCGTCGGGAAGGACTTCGTAGTTCAGATCGCCGAGCCGTCGGATGATCTTATAGGGCCCGAAATAGCGTTTCAGAAGCTTCTCGCTGAGACCGCGGCGACGGATGGGCGTCCACACCCACACCCTGTCTCCGGGCTGGAAGTGAACGTCCCTACGACGAAGGTTGTAGCGGCCCGCGTCGACGCGTTGCTGGTCTTGAATCATGAGTCGGGCGAGCTGGCGGACTTCTTCGGCGCGTTGAGCAACCGCCTGGGCGTCGTCGCTCTCGTTGTCAGATGACTCATGGGGCAGCATGGCGTCCAGCATGGTCGTTACCTTCCGACCATGTACCAGCTAGAAAGGGGTGAATCCAGTGGTCTCTTGAACCGCCGTATTGTAGGCGAACGTGACGTAGGGCAGCACCTCGTCCCACGTCTTGTGCTCTACGTCGACGTACATAGAGATCATATCGGCGATTGTCTTGTTGAGTCGCTCCGTCAGCCCGTTGGTCTGCGGGTGGTACGCAGTTGTACGACGATGGCTGGTATGACTGAGTCGGAGGATTTCTTGGGTCAGTTGTGCCATGAACGATGATCCGCGATCTGTAATCAGAACTTCTGGAGCGCCGTGCCGGAGGACGATGGACTCAATGAAAAACTTGGCAACTTCCACAGCAGTCCCCGAAGGAAGAGCTTTCGTTTCGGCGTACCGTGTGAGATAATCTGTGGCGACGATGATCCAGCGGTTCCCCGACGTCGAAGGCGGAAAAGGACCGAGTAGATCCCTTCCGATCTGCTGGAAGGGTGCAGTTGGAGGAGAAATAGGCTGCAGGAGTCCGGCCGGCCTCGTCGGAGGTTTCTTGCGTCGCTGGCACTCGTGGCATGATCGTGTGTACAGATGGACGGTCTTGGGGAGCTTGGGCCAGTAATACTTTTCACGAATACGGGCCAGTGTCCGGCTGTATCCAAGGTGTCCGGATGTCGCGTCGTCGTGACATGCTTGAAAGATCTCCCCTCGAAGGTCGGTCGGGATTACCAGCAGCCACGGCGAGTTGTTGTCCCCGAAGTTCTCTTTGTAGAGTACACCTTGTCGAATGGCGAAGGTCGACACGGCTCGTGAGAAAATACGGGGTACGGTACCGCCGCGCCCTTCTAGGTGCTCGATTAAGGCTCGCAGCTCCGGATCGTCTCGTTGACGTCGTGCCATGTCATCGGTGTTCACTGCCCGTAGAAAGCACTCGTCATCATCGTCGTCGCTGCTGCCGGAAGGTGTTTCGACAGGGGCCCTGGACAGGCAGTCAGCGTCGCTGTGCTTGCGTCCTGACTTGTAAACCACGGTCATGTTGAACTCTTGTAGCCGGAGGCTCCATCGAGCGAGGCGTCCTGACGGGTCCTTGAGGTTCGCAAGCCAGCAGAGCGAGTGGTGGTCCGTGACTACGCGGAACGGGCTTCCGTACAAGTACGGACGAAACTTCGTGATTGCCCAGACGACCGCAAGGCATTCTTTCTCAGTCGTGGAGTAATTTCTCTCTGCCTTGGACAGTGTCCGACTTGCGTAGGCGATGACTCGTTCGGTGCCTTCTTGTACTTGAACTAGTACCGCGCCAAGTCCTGCGTTACTTGCGTCAGTGTGAATCTCGGTGTCCGCATCCTGATCGAAATGTCCAAGAACCGGAGGCGTCTGGAGTCGTCGCTTTAGCTCGTCGAATGCCTGCTGCTGTTCCTGGGCCCATTCGAACCTCTCGGCGTCCTTCGTGAGGTTTGTGAGCGGTGCGGAAATCCGTGCGAAATCCCGAACGAAGCGACGATAGTAGGCGCAAAGTCCAAGGAATCTTCGCACGGCCTTTTTGTCTGTCGGCGCTGGAAATGACGCGACGGCGCGAGTCTTCTCAGGGTCTGGGCGCACGCCTTCGTTGCTAACCACGTGACCTAGAAACTTCAGTTCGTCATAGGCGAACCGACACTTTGACGGTTTGAGGGTGAGTCCAGCGGTCCGTATGGCTTGAAGAACAGCTCGGAGTCGTCGCAAGTGCTCGTCGAAGTCGCTGGAAAATACTACGACGTCGTCGAGGTAGACCAGACAGCTCTGCCACTTCAGTCCTGCCAGTACGGTGTCCATAACACGCTGGAAAGTTGCTGGAGCCGTGCACAGTCCGAAGGGCATCACCTTGAATTCGTACAGCCCATCTGGCGTGACGAAAGCTGTCTTCTCTCGGTCCCGTTCGTCGACTTCGATCTGCCAGTAGCCGCTCTTCAGGTCCATCGATGAGAAGTATCGAGAGTGGCGCAGCCGGTCTAACGTGTCGTCGATTCGGGGGAGTGGGTAGACGTCTTTCTTCGTCACCGCGTTCAGCTGCCGGTAGTCCACGCAGAACCGAAGCGTTCCGTCCTTCTTCTTAACCAGTACGACTGGAGAGGCCCACGGACTGCTTGATGGCTGGATTATGTCGTCGTTCAGCATCTCTTGAACTTGCTCCTGGATCACCTCCCTTTCTTTAACGGAGACTCTGTACGGTGATCTATGCACAGGGCGCGCGTCGTCCTCGGTAATGATGCGGTGCTTCGCAACGGCTGTCTGGCGTACCTTCGACGACGTCGCAAAGCAGTCACGGTATTCGGCGAGGAGGTTAATCAGC